TCTCCGCCTGGCACAAGATAAGGTGCTTGACATGTTGGGGCCGCTGGCACGGATCCTTACTATGGCGGACGAGGCTGTTTCGCAGGGCTCCCCCCTGGACGCTGCAACCATAAGAGATTTAGCATTATGCTCCATTTGCCTGCTGGGTAACTCCAACGTGGCATTATGCACGGAGCGGAAGAAGGCGGTCCTCATGCGCATGGACGATAAGTTATCGGAGTTGGGATCCAAGGAACTAGGACCATTGGCCAAAGGGCTGCTATTCGGAGAACCTTTCATCAAAGAGCTCCATAGGCACGTCAACCTCTATGCCACTCTGAATAAGGCCCAATCTTCGATGAGGAGTTTGTTCCGCTCTCACACCTCTCGTGTTTTTAGCAGGGCTGGAAGGCAGCGGGGTCGTGCCTCCAGCCGCTTCTGGCTTTCGAGCCACCGAGGATCCCGGACACCATCCTTCTTCCCCAGCTACCACTCTGGGTTCTTCACTTCACAGAGGTCGCACAGTGGCAGAGGGAACCGGACACGCGGTAGGGGCAGAATGCCCACAGGTGAGACAAATTACACCACATGTTTTTCCCAGTCCTTTGCATGCCGGCAGGTTACGTTATTGTCTCGACAGGTGGCGGGACATTTCTTCGGACGCTTGGATATTCCTAACAGTCCGAGGTTACAATATAGACTTCCATTCACCCCAATCCAGGAGGTACCCCCCTCGGCTCCGGTGTCGTCAAGAGTACTGCAAGTCCTGATAGATGCCGAAATACAGGCGAAATACAGACAAAGGGGCAGTTCAGTGGGCGCCGGACGACGGAGGTTTCTTCAGCTCGATTTTCCTAGTCAGGAAAAAGACGGGAGATTTCCGCCCGGTCATAAATCTGAGAAACCTGAATGCCTTCATTTCCTATCAGCACTTCAAGATGGAGGGCATCCATCTTCTAAGAGACTTACTGCGCCCAGGAGATTGTTTCACTCGTCTAGACCTGAAGGACGCATTTCTATCCGTGCCGGTGGAATCCGGATGTCGACGATTCCTGCGTTTCATTTGGAAAGGGAGGCCATGCCAATTCACCTGCCTACCCTTCGGCCTCAGCTCGACACCTTGGTGTTTCACCAAACTGTTGAAACCAATAACAGCATGCCTGCGCTCCAGGGGCATTCGGTGCCTGATATACCTGGACGATTTGCTTCTCTTCTGCGAGGACACCTCCAGGCTGAAATCTCAGACGCTCTACACGGTCTCCTTGTTTGAATCCCTGGGGTTTGTAGTCAACCGAGAGAACTCGGCCCTCACACCGACGCAGTTAGTTAAATTTTTGGGGTTCGAAATAGATGCAACTCAGTGCATCCTACGCCTCCCTCAGGCAAAGATCACGGCCATTCGAAAAGAGATCCAACGGATCCTGCATCAAGAGATGATCCCACTCAGGATGCTGGCACGAGTGGTAGGCCTCTTGTCCGCATCGATCCAAGCCATCTACCCAGGTCCCCTTCACAACAGGGCCATGCAATGCCTGAAGGCACGCTTCCTGTGCAGGAAGCACTCATACGACCAGCTGATTCCCATCACGCAGGATGTCAAGACCGAACTTCGTAGGTGGCTGTTACATATATCAGCCTGGAACGGCAAGGCGATTTTCGGTCCGACCCCGGACTTTGTTCTGGAATCGGATGTGAGCCTATGGGGCTGGGGAGCGACCTGCGCGATCGCCTCCTGGTCGAGCACGGAAACAGGGTATCACATCAACTGCCTGGAAATGATTGCGGGCTCATTCGCTATACGGAGCCTTGCGGGTCATCTGTCGGATTGCTGCATCCTGCTGAGAATGGACAACGTATCATCGGTGCAGTATATCAACCGCCTGGGAGGAGCACGCTCACGGGCACTGACGGAGGTGACGAAGGAGATTTACAACTTCTGCCTTCAGCACAATATCACTCTCCAGACAGAATATCTTCCAGGTGTGTCGAACCTGATGGCAGACTGGTTTTCCAGACACTGGAGGGATGCCAGCGATTGGCTTCTACATCGACCATTCTTCCGCGAAGTGGCGCGACGGAGGGGCCCATTCACGGTGGATCTGTTCGCTTCCAGGACGAACTTCCAGATCTCAAATTACTTCAGCTGGCTCCCGGATACGATGTGCGCAGCAGTGGATGCTTTCCTTCAGGACTGGCCAGCGCAGGGAGCCTATGCATTTCCACCATTCACTATGATCTCCAGGATCCTTCTCCAAGTACGACGTCAACAGATATCGTTGGTATTACTGACACCTCTTTGGCAAGGCCAGGCTTGGTTCCCAGAATTGCTAGAGCTGTCATATCAGGACCCGCTCCTTCTCCCGTCTCCGCATCTGCTCCTGTTGGATTCTCGAGGCAACCATCACCCCCGTCTGGGCTTTTGATATTAACGCATTCACCTTTTCCCCAGATGGGGTGACTTTTTCGGTGTTGAGACGTACCAAGTCTGACTCCACTGCCATTTTCTACCCTTTTTTTCGAGAAGCTCCTAAGCTCTGTGTGGTTTCTGCTCTGTCTCGCTATGTGGCAGTTACTACCCCGCTTCAAAGTTCCCAATCGAGACAGCTGTTGATATCTTATGTACGGCCGCCTAAACCGGTTTCTACCATTACTTTGGCTCATTGGATCAGATGGCTTTTGTCGTTGGCCGGCGTGGACTCCTCTTTTGGTGCTCATTCGGGGCGCGGCGGCATCGGGAGCCCTGCTTCCCTGGCCGATATTCTACTTTCAGCAGACTGGTCTCGAGAAGACACATTTCGACAGTTTTATTTCAGACCAACGGAACATGCAGCTTTTGCCTTAATGGCTGAGCGTTGAAACAGCAAATATGAAGCCTCCTGTCATGTTATAAAATTGTAGATTATGCTAGCTTTAGTGTCCCTCTAATCTTAATTTTATTAATGACCGGAGGCGAATATTTCCCACCCTTTTGTTCCCGACCCTTGTTGGTATTTATTATCTGGTATGTTGAATACTAATTAAGAGATATGTCTCTGGTCAATGTTCGTTGTGGTTATTTCCTACGATATGTTTTTCATTTCTGCCTGGGCCGGGATCTGTACACTTGGTGGTGTTCACTATGAATTTTGCACTGGGTGGCTGCATGCTTTTCTACGTACCTTTCATTGGCTAATCACAATTTTCGATTTTGTTTATTTCGTTTCAGTGTAAATGTCCCGTAATGAGATCACGACCAAGTTTTCGACTCGGTTGAAGATTCCTATGAGAGTCGTTGTTTCTGTCGGAGATGGACGGTTATTGTTATGTTATGTTTTCTTTTTTTCTGACTGTGTTTTGTTGTCGCAGCTTGAAAGAGGAAATGGAATGTTGAGAAGGGAGTTATATGGTCTCCTTACTGTTTTCTGATTGGTTGTTTACTCTCTGGTGTTTTGCTGCTGTGGAGTTCTAGTAAAGAGAGACGTAAGCAAATATTCGCCTCCTGTCATTAATAAAATTAAGACTAAAGCTAGCATAATCTACAATTCATCTTTAGTATATACTGTCCTAGTAAAGGTTCGTACCTCGTGTAGACTTTGTTTTCTATGTAGATCCCTTAAAGCTACCAGCATTTACAAGGGTTAATAAAACCGGAATACAGTATTTTTGGCGGACCGTGTCCGGTGCCTTCATTAGTCCTTCCTACTGTGTTTGGGGAGATTACATTGCTAACCATATTATTCACTGATTTACACTGTCTATGTATAATAAATATTAGACTGGATGTACTGCTGGGGATTGCTGGCTTATTCCAAGATGATTAAACCCATATTCATTGCTAGAATTAGCATCTGGACGTCACCATCTCTGAAGGTCAAATTCAGAAAATGCAGAGATTGTGTGAGCAAGTCGGACACTCCCTCACTGCTCGCTGCTGCCAGAAAGGGCAAGTCTACAGCCAACATTTAGCCAAGGTCACTGAGATCGCTCTGTGTGAGCTGAACTTGGGGACATTATAGCCGTGCGTCATCGTGATGGCAGCTGCTGAACAAGCAAAGGTTTTTCCTTCATGTAACATGCGTGTGATGTATTAACATGCCAATCCCACACAACTTTTAGGTCACTCACATTGCTTGCTACCGTGTCATGGTTTAGCAGGACCACCAAGACCGAATGGAAAGCACGAAAAGCTCCACGGTTACCCCCACATCTGGAGGGGACATGGGGGCCAGAGAAGATTTGTTAAAGTGTCACTCATACTTTTTCATCTAATTTTGGGTGCGATTGATTCAATTTGTTGGATTTGATTTTTCCTCTGTTCCTTTTTGAGTATGTGTTATTTTTGGGGGGGGGTTTTCCTCAGCTGACAATTTTTTTTACAAAGTTTTCAGACTGAAAAAAATTAGAAATCTTTCTGCCACTACAAATTTGTCCATCTGCAAAAAGTGGAAAGTTCTGCTGAATTTACTATGAAGAAAACCACCACTTTTTTGGCTCACTTTAACAAATGCAATCAAAGTGATCTAAATGTATTTTCTGGAACACTTTGCTAAATATCCCCCATTGTCCATGTGCCTTTTGAGATTGTGTGATAGCTCATTTGGTTAATGTGCTAGTTCTGGCTCTTATTGAAATCGTAGAATTTTGGTTTGATCTCTGGCAGATTAAATTCATTATTTCTTCCTTCTGAAGTGGATAAAACCAGTGCCACAGAGTTGAGTGATAGTGACAGCTGTCAGTCAGTTGTGAATTTGTTTAAAATCTTAGTCTGTCGTTTCTACTTTATTTTGTTGATCTAATTACTTTATGATAATAGTTTCCCATAGACTTTTCTAAATGCGAATTAACTCAGAGTCCTGACATTCACCGTTATTTTAAACCATCAAACTATATGTGAGCTCAGTTCACAAAGAAACTGAAGGTTTCATTCAGTAAGAAGCAGATTTTGGTCTTGATTGTATCTTGCACGATATCCTGTGACTTCCGGAAACGGAGCAACCAGTGCAAGATTGCAGCTCAGATTGATCTCACCCGTAGAAACTGTGAAAACAGATCCTGTCTGAGGGGTGTTCACTAACCAGCATATTCTATTAAACTAAATGCTGAGCAAAACAGCAAGGCCGAATGTAGTCGAGCTAGAATTTTTTTTCCAAATCAGCTATTTGAGTATAAATTGTACCATCCAGTTTTTAATTTGCTGCAATTTGGTGTTTAGTGAAGAAACCTCAGAGTCTAATTCATCCTGTCTGGTTTAGGGGATTCCACCAGCTTGGATTTCATTCTTGATAATCTGGATTTAGTGAATAACCGTGGCTAGTGTTGGACATGCGCCATCCTTCTCCTGTCCCAGTTCTAGACGTCTTCTACAGTTCGATGTAATTTACATTTCATTTTCCCAGTTTTAGTGTGAATCTCCCAGCCGAAGGTTACTGTCCTTTTATATTGGAATCTGACCAGACTGTGGTGTGCACCTCACATTATCCCAGGCCTCCCCCTAGTCCGGGCCAGATAGAAAGCAGGCACGGCTCTCATCACCCCATCTCTAAACATTTCACATTGATTTTCTGTGCTGTAATAATGCAGGGTTTAAACATGCTGGCAAGTCATAAATGAGAAAGTCTCTCAGTACACGGTAATGGGGGGACAGCGTCTGTCTGTAGGCAATGATATGTATCAAGACTGAGCAGGTAACGTGGAATAGTTCTCACAGCCGGTCCCAGCATGACTGCACAGGTGAGACAGTCTCATCTTTCAGCCGCCATGTGACAGAATGACAGGGGAGCTGGGTTCAGCATATAATCAGGACACACTTCCCTCTCTGGAATCTATTCTCCAAGCAGGGAATGGGGAGCATTGACAACAGAATTGCACATTGAAATTGCCAAATTGATTGCATTCTCCAAATCAGATATTTTCCCACAATTCCTAGCTAGAGATTAAACGTGGTGGTTTATGTACTAAACAGTGAATTGAAAGACACAAAATTAAGGCTAAAATAGTCAAACTGTAGCTCTAGCTGAGTGGGTGGCTGCTTTAGCCTACATTCTGACCTATTCAGTTATTGTATTGATATACAGGGTCCCTTCTTGTTAACGCTTTATTAATGATCGGAGTGAAGGGGCTGAGCACGATGCTAGATTTTAGGCAGATGGCACAAAACGCTGATAAAATAAAATCTGAAGTTATTTGTGTTAATACTGTAGGCATGGATTTCTAAAAATGACTAAATGGACAGTTATATGTCAGGCGTTTCAATGTAGAAAATAATGTAACGTTTGCGAAGGTTGAACTGAACGGACAATGGTCCCTTGTCATGTAACAATGTGCGCAGTTACTGTGCAAGAGATAAAGACTAAACTACTTCCAAAGGGACACTGCAGGCCCAGTGCATTATAAACATAATGGTTTTATATGTTTAAAAATAAATAAATAAATAACAGAAAAAATGAAAAGATAAAAAAAAGGTTCACCTTTAGAATTCATGTTTGCTGCAAATCTCCAGGTTGTGCAGCCTCTGCAGTGGGGATCTTAATGAAGTATCCCCTTCCTCCCTCAAGCAATTCAGAAAATCAAAGCAATGCGTGGCCACTGGACTCATCTGACTCTTCCCATGCCTCTGACTATACAGATAGGAAATAAGGCAAAAGCCCAATGTACTTTATTTTTCTATAAAAGCATGCTTGAACCCTCGTCCCTGCAAATAAAAAAGTTCCATAAAATTACAGTCATTTTTATAAAGAAGTTTCTTGTTTCTACTTTTACCTAGAATAGAAATAACAGTTTTTTGGGGAAATAAAAAAATATAAAAGAATGTGACAGGTTTTCAAATTCAATAATTCTCAACAAACGTGAAATTTGGTAAAACTACAATAATGAATCATTAATGAACCTCACTCATCCATATTCAGAATTTATTTATATGATCATATAGCAATAGTATTAATGTTGTAAAATGGAATCCCCCATTAGTTACTGGAGATAATTAGAATTCCATCTCCTCTCACAATACTGGCATGATTCCCACCTGATTGCGGGTTGGAAGAATATTAGGAAAGTAAAGGATGTTCAGAGAAACGTTCTCCAATTCCAGGAATGAGACTGACTTGTGAAATGAAGGGGAGCAAGCATGCTATGAGAATACTTTTAACTAAAATAAAATCATTTGGTGTAGGCATTCATTCCTTTAGACAGAGAGGAATCCATAGATCTATAGTCATTGATGTTTGTATTGGCTGTTGTTTAACAAGCAGGAGATGGACCCACCGGACAGGCACACGTGAAGGCCAAATCCGAGGTCAGGGCCTCAAATCCCAGGCAGACCCTGGCAGATGACAGTGAGATGATCTTTTTGGAGGGGAGCAGGTGGTGCAATATCAGTAGTAGGCCGCAATGCCTGAGGCCAACACACAGAAAGTTTAACTAATACTGTCTTATTGTCAAATAGAGACTGACTTAAATAAATGTTTGGTAAAATGTAACAAAGTGGGCAGAGGAGATAAGAAGATACAGTAAATATATATTCACATAGACTAACACCGATGGTTGACATTTGTTAGGATCTTGTCAATTGGATAACAGTTGCAAAGAACAACAGAGCAATATCTCTTCATGGACTGGACATAATAGGTCCAGGTGTTAGTTATTGTGATTTACTGTATTCTGACCCAGTTTGTCTTGACCATCCTCTGACTTGGCTTTGTCTCTCCTTTCTGTCCTATCTATTCCTGTCCTTGATCTCAGCTATACCCTGAGTATTGCTCTTAATCCTGGTCACCCCAAATACCGGTAATACACTTCCTTGGGTTTTGGTTACAGGTTCTGTGTTGAGTAACCCCCCATACTGTGACACTTACCAGGCAGGGCCGTCTTTAACGCGGGGCAAACGGGGCAGCTGCCCCGGGCCCAGTTTCTCTTGGGGGGCCCGAGGCACCTGCCCCGTGGGCCCCGCTGCCCTCATCAATTTATTTTTTCCCCCCGTCCCACCGGGTGGCCCATGCACTTAGGGCAGTGGCGTACATACCAGGGTCGCGGCTGCGACCCTGGTATGCACCCACAGGGCCAGCGTCTTCCCCTGGGGGGCCCAGGAGGCGGCCACCCCAGGGCCCCCCGAGGCTGGCCCTGCTGACCCCGGCGGGCGGGTGGCCGGTCGGGCAGGAAGGCGGGTGCGCGAGGGGGCACTCAGTGCTTCCTCTTCAGCTCCCTCGCGCACCGCACTGATACGCGCAAGGGAGCTGAAGAGGAAGCACTGAGTGCCCCCTCGCGCGCCCGCCTTCCTGCCCGACCGGCCACCCACCAGCTGGGGTCAGCAGCACCACTGGACCCCAGGGAATCCCCCCAGCACTCCAAAAGGTAAGGAGGCTGGGGGGATTACATTTAAAAAAAAAATGTGTGTTTATGTGTTTGTGTGTTAGTGTGTGTTTGTGTGTTAGTGTGTGTGTTTGTGTGTTAGTGTATGTGTGTTAGTGTGCGTTTGTGTGTTAGTGTGTGTTAGTGTATGTGTGTTAGTGTGTGTGTTTGTGTGTCAGTATGTCTGTCTGTGTGTCAGTATGTCTGTGTGTGTTTTTGTCAGTATGTATGTATGTATGTCTGTCTGTGTGTCAGTATATCTGTGTGTGTGTGTTTCAGTATGTCTGTGTGTGTGTGTCAGTCTGTCTGTGCATGTCAGTATGCCTGTCTGTGCATGTCAGTATGCCTGTCTGTGTGTGTGTCAGTATGTCTGTGTGTGTGTGTCAGTATGTCTGTGTGTGTGTGTCAGTATGTCTGTCTGTCTGTCAGTATATATGTGTGTGTGTATATCTGTGTGTGTCAGTATGTCTGTCAGTGCGTCAGTATGTCTGTTAGTGCATGTGTATGCATGTGTCAGTATATCTGTCTGTGTGCCAGTATGTCTGTGTGTGTGTGTGTGCAGGGGCCGGACTGGGGATACAAAGCAGCCCTGGAAAAAAAATTTGTGCCAGCCCCATAAGTCACTGCGCCATATATTGTCGCGTGTAATATGTAAGGCTATGTCTTGCCAGGACAGATGATTGAGTAATATATATATATATATATATATATATATATATATATATATGCTTTTTCTAATATAAAATATTGGTCCTTTCAGGGTAAAACGTTTAATTATACAGTAAGCATATGCACATGCAGACACAGGCAATTTCACTGACATTTCAGTGACACACACAAGCTCATTGATACACAGCCTCATAGACAAACAATCTTACTGATATACATCAGCTCATTGACATAAAAACACAAGCTCACTCACTAGCAGGCACACGCATGCAAGCAAGCTCACTCACTAGCAGACGCACACACACAGCTTAATGTGGTGGTACTGGTGTCTATAGCATGTCCCTACAGGCTTTTCAACGTAAACACTGACTTTTCAGACAAAAGGCAGTGTTTACATTGCTTCAAAGTGACACTGCTAGTGACAGTCACTCAGACGGTCACTAGAGGTGCTTCCTGTGTTAGTGCCCTCCCGCGCTGCTGAATGAGACTGGCGCCGGAATATGACGTCATATTCCGGCGCCGGTCTCATTCAGCTGCGTGCTGGGGAGCAGAGCCAGCGCAGCTCGCGCAGCTCCCTCAGCGGCCGCCAGGACAAGTCCGCCAGCGGCCGCCAAAAGACCTCCCCAGCGGCCAGGGGAGGGCTGGCAGCCTTAGGCCTGGGGGCAAAACCAGTCAAGTAGACTGGTGCACCTGCCCAGGATCAGAGCCGGTGCAAGGATTTTTGCCGCCCTAGACAAAATAAAAATTTGCTGCCCCCACATGTCACATCACAATGCCCCACCCATATTGTGATGGGATTCCAGCATGGTTAAAATTTAGTAGGCCAAAATCTCCATGTGGCATATGTGTATGTTGTGTCAGTTGGTTAGCTACATGTAGCTAGGATACTGTCATCAGTGTACTGAGCATGTGCAGGAATGCAGGAACTGAAATTGCACTTATTTCCTTTGTCTTGGATGAGCCATGTGGTTTGACTAGATGTACAAGTCTATAGTCTGCTCATTGATTGGTTAAAGGTATATGTGGGTGTAGCTATTAATGGGAGGAGTTATGTGCCTATATAGGGAGCCTGCACTATTGTTCAGGGCTCAGAACTTGCTGTATTTTTGGTGACATTAGTCCCTCTGAGTCCCGATCGGTGATCCAATAAAGAATCTCCTCCTTCCTGAAGAAACCTGTGTCCATCCCTCTGTGCTTTGCTTCCGTCAGTTTCTCCGGTATCATTTGGTGCATTGGCCGGGAAGCTCATCGTTCAACGGTAGCTGAGAGGCAGAGGCGTGAGACGGTCTATCTTTGCCCACGTTCTCTACGGCTGCACCCCTGAACTTCTGCGTGGACCTCCCTTCGTCTCGGCGCCACTGGTCTGTTGTCCAGGAGATCATCGGCCTCTACGTAAGAAGTGCTGGGGTGTCCCCGTCGATGAGTGTGAACTCAGGTTCAGGAACGAGGAGGTAAGACAACTGCTGTTTTAGACGGCAGACCCACTAGGGGTATACCGATTGTGCGGTAGGCCCAAAAGGGGTTTAAATCTGTGTATGGAATCTGCCCCCTCTGTCGGAGGGAAGGAGCGAAGGCGCACCGCTCGATCGAACGCTCTTTAGTAAGACCGTTTGATCTGGTTAGTCAGGCGGGGTCCTGTGTAAATAGCCCTAGCCGGACACCGGTGTCTTGTCTAGACTAGCGTTCTAGGGTGTATATTACGTTCGCTAGGTCGGAGGGACCGGGAGACTAAGCGGCGCCTGTGTAAATTCGGTTCGCTAGCTCTCAACCTATCTTGGCTAAGTGGGAAGGCGTGTAAATTTGGAACCCACTAGACTTTTGATAGAGTAAATAGACTAGAAGGGCAATTTTGTAAAGCCCTCTAGTTCGCTATATGTGGTGCTTGGGCAGTGTGGCTAACCAAAACGGGTGTATATAGTTTTAGGTAGTCTATTCAAGGTACTGGCCAATAGTTTAGTTGGGATTATTGTAAATGTTGTTAAATATATTGTAGTTGGTGAATTGGTTAACTTGTATGTCCTACTAGAAAGTTAGAGCTCTGCTGTCTAGTGGGAGTGTAAATTGTGTGTATAACTGTAAAATAGCGCACGGTACCATAACTACTGACATGTACCATAACCACTGACATTGTGTAAAAATTACTAACAATTGCTGTTTTATGTTATATGTATAATACCATAACTGTTACTAACTGATCTGTGACTTTAAAACTGTATTATAACCACTTACTAACTGTACCATAACCACTGACTGTAAAGATGAGGTTACTAGAATGTGATATAGTTGGTTAGTCAAAAGTTGATTTATAGTACAGATAATTGTAGAGATGAATTTGTTGAAATGTTATGTGATCGGTTAGTTTATATGGATTAATAGCGTGGATAGTTGTATGGTTTGAATAATAGTTACATTGATAAGTGTATAGTCTTTGGTGGGTTTTTGATTTAATTTTGTGTGTGCGACGTCGTGATATTGTTGAGCATGTGAGGATCCTGTGTGTGTGTGTTTGGGCCTAGTGACTGCGCAATGTGTTGCTGGTGATAAGGAGATTGGTGTGACTGTTGAAACTGTGTGTATATTTGTACAGCTTTTTGAATCAGACGTTCTGTTGAAATAATCTGATTCACTTGGCTGTTAGTCTTTTGTCTTGTATGTTTAAAAAAAAAAAAAAAAGTAGAGAGTAGCTTGTCCTGGTGGCCGCATGGCCTCCATGTAGCAGTCTTCACTTAAATTTAGTGCAGGGTGTACATGTGGCTGTAACTAGTAGGCTGGAATTCTATGATCAGTTTCTATATATTGACTGTTGGAAACTGATTGTTTAAAAATTGCCTTGGTGAATTAAACTGTGTCATATGGGAAACAATGTAGCCATATGGTGGTCAGAACTAAGGACTTAATTACAACTGCTTTGGACATCCCCTCCCCCCCTGGCATCTGATTACCAACCCCCCAAACATCCTCCAGAGCCAGATTAGCCACGCCCATTTCTGGCTGGTATAATCAGTATTTGCACTCCCCTGCTCTACTGTCCCCGCCTACCCACATACCTATCTGTTCCTGTGTTTCAAACTCTTGTATTTCTGTACTACCCCTCCCCCTAATCAATGATCAATGGTATCAGATGGTATATTGGTTTTTTTAGTTACTGGATGGGCCCCTCCCCAGCTTTGTCCAAAATGTCCCCTTTTTACTAAACTACAAACTGAAATGTTTAATTTACCTTAGAACTAAAGATTTAATCAAGCCTAGCTAGCAGGGTGGACATTGATTAAAATAAGTAATAATAAAATAGGACATAATTAATTAAAGTCTATTTGTTTCATTTGACTTTAGGGAGGCACTCTAGGGCCACCTACTGGCCATCTTCGGGAGTTACATTGATAATACATTGTTTATAACAGATAGATGTAGGATTGCTTACCCTATTTTAATATATTTATTGCTATAAGGTTTTATTTTATGTATAAATATATTAAAAGTTGAGTTTTCTTATTAGACCCATAAAGATTATTTTGATACAATTACCTTCTGGTGACACCTACTGGTAGGTTTTTGGTTTAACACTTTAAACAAAAACGTTTTTTCATCCACCAAATGCCGACTAATAAAATTAGCTCACCCCCTTACACTTATCTTACTACTCCTAGACTGGAACCTATTATTGGGCAGCCTTGCCGAAGTCCCATATTAGACACTGCTTGAGTCAAATAGATTGTACACTCCTTTCAATCCTGAAAGCTTCCGAATGATAGACTCAGCATTTGTCAGCCAGACCCAAGGTGATAGTAATAGGGAGACAGAGGTAAAGTGGGAGCAAGAACGTAAAATGAGGAAAAAGGCAGATATGCTAGCGGTAGCTATCTTAAGTGTAGAAAGACAGGGAAGTGAATAGAGGAGATGAGAATAGGCTGAGCAAGGGACTTTAAGTAGGAATTAATGTGCGTATTGTAGAAAGGAGGGACATTGGAAGAGTGAGTGTCCACAGAGAGAGTAGTATGAAGGTGATAGACAGGAGAGAGAAGGGTACGAGGAGGTTATAGTGGTAGTTATAGAGGAAGAGGAAGTTTTAGAGGGAATGATGGGAATAGTAGAGGAAGTGTTCAAGGAGACAGATACTATCCACCCACGCAGAGACCTAGAGAAAGAGAGGATAGAGATTTTGTGGGTCTGGCTGACACTATCATGGAAGACTATTGATACCGACTGGGCTCCATCCCACTTGGTCGAGCGGAGCCTATGGTCGATGTAGCAATAGGGGGAAAGAGAAGTTCTTTCATGATCGACACAGGTGCTGAACATTCTGTGGTGACTAAGATGGTGGCTCCGCCTTCGGGGAAGACTATAACTGTGATAGGAGCTACTGGGAGAAGTGCAGCTAGACCGGTTCTTAAGAGTCGCACTTGTATTCTGGGAGGCCATGTGGTGAAGCATTAGTTCCTATATATGCCAGAGTGTCCGATTCAACTTTTAGGACGAGATCTATTATCGAAGCTTTAAACTCAGATAACCTTTTACCTAATGGATTAACATCTCTGAAGTTTAAGGGATTACCAGGCATAATGGTGATATCGGTGCCAAGGGAAGAAGAATGGCGCTTCTATTCCATAGTGACAAGTGTTAACCCTAAGAGTGATGAATCCTTACTTGACATTCCAGGAGTATGGGAAGAAAATAATCCTCCAGGACTTGCTCGTAATATCCCACCAATACATATTGAGTTAAAGCTCGGGGTGTATTCTGTTAGCCTTTGTATGTTGTTCTTTTATCTACCCCAACAGCTGTAAAGGTGGCGGAAGTGACTCCTTGGATTCATCATTCTAAGGTTAAACCAGCAGCAGACTCTTGGCAAACTACTCCAGATCCTGAGAATCCTTGCAGGACCCGGTTGAAGCGTGCAACTCAGTCGGAGTGACGAGGGGATATCGAGACATTCTAATTAAAAGTCTACAAAGATCATCAAGTAGGTGTTTTGACGGCCATAATAAAGCCTGACCACCTGCCTACGTGTCATAGCCAGAGTATCTTGAAGGGATCTCTGTGAAGGAAAGTGAGGATCAGAAGAACAACATCCTTGCAGCCCTCACAATCGGGAAGCTGAGAGGCCATCGCACGGTCGAAGAAAAATGAGGATTTCAGGAATAATGTGTTTTATTGTGTCTTAGTATTTTTATGATTTTTTCAGGAAGGTAGGAGTACAGACATACCGAATTGCGATAGTTGCATTAAGACTACTAAAACAGGTAACCAAATATCCCAAACTCTCATCTAGCACTCACAGTATGAATGTAAGGGATCTGTATCTAAATGTAGATATTTGGATATTGATTATAGTGTGTGCAAGCCAATATCAGGAGAGTCTAAATGTTTTGATCCCCATTTCCAACCCCGTACAATTTGGTTGGTAATTCGGAATAGTAACTCCCAGGGGACATTACTAAATAGGACTGTGATAAGCACCATACATTCCACGGGTATTCTATTATTTGATGCATGTAAGGCGATTTCGGGTAGTGGAAGACTTTGGAATGTATGTGGTAATCTTAAATGGGAACGAACTTATGGGTTTAATGATAAATACTTATGTCCCAGTATAAGATCTACTGATCCTGATTGCCCAAATAGAGACTAACTTCTGCCCCTATTGGTCATGTGTAGGTTGGGCAACCTGGAAAAACAGTGGATCAAGATATGATTATCCAAAGGTTGCCTACCACACCATACTGTAAAACTATGTGTGCAACCCCGTTCACATGACCATTTCCAATCTGCAGTACTTTATTGACAGGTTTGGAGGTCTGTTTGGGTTTCAAATATATGGCACAGGAGTAGATTCAGGAACAATAATATATGTAGGTCTTGAAACTGAGACAGTGGCAACTCAAACTCATCAGGTTTCTCATTCCTTCTATGAGGAGATGAGTATTGAGGATAAAATTCCCCATAATGTTAACAACCTATTTATTGATTTGGCTGAGGGTATTGCAGGTAGTCTTAATGTAACTAATTGCTATGTGTGTGGAGGTACTAATATGGGAGACCAGTGGCCATGGGAGGCAAAGGAAATATGGTACCCTGGCTCTGAGACATATGAACAACAGATACCTTTCCAGTCTGATCATCAAGTAAGTACTAGAAGTAAATTGGAATGGTGGTTAAAAACCTCCATTATAGGTCATGTTTGTATAGCCAGGAAAGGGACAATGTATAACACGTCTGTAGGTGAGCTAACGTGCTTGGGACAAAAAGCCTATAATGTTAATACTAAAAATACTACTTGGTGGTCAGCTTCAAATGTCTCAGAACCATCTAACCCGTTTGCAAGATATGCCAATTTAAAGGACGTATGGTTTGATCTATCCATCACATCTAACTGGAGAGCCCCAGCGAATTTGTACTGGATCTGTGGTAAGAAGGCCTATTCGGAGTTACCACAAGATTGGGAAGGGGCATGTGTATTAGGTATGCCAAAGCCATCTTTCTTCCTGTTGCCTATTGAAACAGGTGAGACTTTAGGTGTTAAAGTGTATGATGTGAATCATAGGAAGAAAAGGGGACCCATAGAGATAGGTGCCTGGGAAGATAATGAATGGCCTCCCCAGCGTATTATAGATTATTATGGGCCAGCCACGTGGGCAGAGGATGGTACCTTTGGTTATAGAACCCCTATTTATATGCTCAACCGCATTATAAGGTTACAGGCGGTGGTTGAGATCATTACTAACGAGACATCACAAGCGCTCAATCTTCTAGCGAAGCATAATACCAGGATGAGGACAGCAGTTTACCAAAATAGATTAGCCTTGGATTATCTTTTGGCAGTAGAGGGAGGTGTATGTGGGAAGTTTAACCTGAGCAATTGCTGTCTTCAAATAGATGACGAAGGGCAAGCAATAGCTGAACTTACAAGCCACATGGTTAAACTAGCGCATGTGCCTACTCAGGTATGGAAAGGGTACAATCCAAGTAGTTGGTTTGGTAGTTGGTATGAGCAGCTTGGGGGAATTAAGACATTAGTAGGAGGAGTAGAATTTATTATATTTTTTTTTGTGCCTCCTCCTGCCCTGTCTAATTCCACTAGTGGTAAGGTCCCTACGTAGTATTATAGAGAGTACTATAGAGAGAAAGACAGCGGCTCATGTAATGGCTGTCTGGAAGATATGATCCCCTAGCCCGAAGAGAATATATTCAGGATGAAGAATGTTGAAGGAGTTTTTAAGATGCTTACAAGGTCTACTCTGGTTCAATGGCTACTTGAGAGATGTAGGTAAAACTGTGATTGGTGATGCATCTGGAATAATGTTATATCAGAGGCATCAAAAGGGGGGAATGTGATGGGATTCCAGCATGGTCAAAATTTAGTAGGCCAAAATCTCCATGTGGCATATGTGTATGTTGTGTCAGTTGGTTAGCTACATGTAGCTAGGATACTGTCATCAGTGTACTGAGCATGTGCAGGAATGCAGGAACTGAAATTGCACTTATTTCCTTTGTCTTGGATGAGCCATGTGGTTTGACTAGATGTACAAGTCTATAGTCTGCTCATTGATTGGTTAAAGGTATATGTGGGTGTAG